TATCTCACTGAGTGAATTGTCATTGGCATTTAGTTTAAATCTTTGTCATTCACTGCTGCGTGTTCGCATCTCCAAACTTTAAGGTTGCAGGTTGCGCAGATAAGCATGAAATCTAGGTCCAGGGCAGCCATCTAACAAAAATTCAAAACCTGACTAGTCACCTTATTCCCTGATCACATTGCGTACTTGACTGACAGAATTCAGTTGACCTCAAAATAAAATACTGGATATACGACAGTGGTCACAACCAGTGTAGCTTTTAATTCTCTCAGGAGCATAATATTCGATTTCTCCCTACTACTGTTAATTGCTACTGACACCTGCTTATGAATTTGTTAAATTTTTTGCGGCTGTATTGGCAGAAATGGAGATCAGCGGGCCACTCCAATTTTCTATCCACCAAAATTCATCGTATTTAATCAGTTTCAAACTATTTTAATCATTCGATTACCAATATGAGTGGCAATCTATACTACAACATCATTTCAAATAAGTTCTTACCTTTCGGTAGCGATTCTCTGAAGGAAATGGAGTAACAGTATTGTGGAGTAGTATTGGAACATGCTTCGGATGGATCAATTTTGATTCAAATGACAAATTAACGGTCATTATACTAATTAAAGATTCTGCACATAGAGTAAATGACTTGCAGTGAGACTACTTGAAAATTCTATATTGTCTACAGAAGCATTTTTCAGAATAAAGCTATTATTTTTATTAAAAAGCAACATAAGAGGATTTATTCAGAGAGCTATTTTATGTTGAAAATGAAGGGTTATTCTTCAGCCAACAAGAAACTCCTCTTATGACTATCAGAGTAATCCAATTTTATTTTTTGTCTTCAAATGATGACGGTCTGTTTGTTCAGTTATTGACTGTTTCCTTGGGGGAATTCCTCAAACTTCACTGCTTGATGATATCCATTTGCTGATTATTGGTATCAGCTTGTAGTTGTGCAATAATAAACCATGTGGTCATAACGATTACACACTCAAAAGTCATAAATTGCCTCCATGACTTTCAAGTATTGGCTTGTAAGGATTTGAGTGATATGTTACAGGAATTCATCATGAGCTGACATTGGTTAGAGGACCATTGGAAAACAAGCTGGGAGTACTGGACAGCCAATTGTTCCGTCCCAACTCATTTGGGACTCTTCACAGTACTCACCACCCCCCAAAGGTTCGAACCCAGGATCTTGTGGTTACAAGAAGAGCTCGTCGACCATTAAGCCACTGGGATTCGATCCAATGGCCCATGAATTCCATTTTCTGCCAATTCATGACATAGCGTGACCACTAGCCAATTTCTTCAACAAGCATTTGTCCTCATACCTGACCTGCTTCACCCTACTGGTCACGACTTCTCACAAGAACCCAGGTAACTACGTACCTGAATAAGATCAGTCACCAGCTATCATCTCATCGATATTCAAGTATTGGTTTGCAGGGATTTGATTGATTGGTTAAAGGATTTCATCATGAGCTGACATTATTTAAAGAACCATGACTGTTCGATGATCTCTGAGTTTACAGAAACCAAATCAGTCCAGACGTAACTAGAACATCTTAATCCAGGTTATTCTGTTACTCAAGATTTTAGGACTTTTTTGCCTCATTCGTTTGGTGTTCGGATACAGTAATCAACAACGTTGTCAGTGTAACGCAGTATGGTACTACACACACCTAATTTTTCCTAGACTTTATACGTTGTTAACATTATCAATAAAATTACTACATTTCATGTTCATATAAAACTTGTAAATACAGAATAGGTGTCAAGCCTCTTCTTTGTTTACTGGTGACACTAAAAGCTATTTTTCTCTTCACGTGTCAATAGTATCCTGTCGTGTTGGTTATCGTTGCGAATAGTCATTAGAACAGTAGGTTTGCGAATCTACTAGGTAGGAAAGTTAAATAGTGCGGCAGAAACGTGGAATGCCAGGCTGTATTGACTGTTACATCACATCAACAATGCATAATACAAAATGGAAAAAAAGCCTACAAAAATAATAGTGTAAAATGACTGACATCTTCCCGTAGTTTTATTGCTCCTAGGATACTTTCTTTGAGCGGAAAAGTTTATTGCAAGTGTGTCACGTGTTTATGTCGGCTCTGGTTTTCTAGTGACCAATCACTTTATCGAAGAATAGCCAAAATTCCTGCAGTAGGAGAAGCTAAAAATAAATCTTCATGGTTTCTTTTCAACTTACCAAGCGTTTAATTCTATCAATATAGATGAAGCAATCAGAAGACGTCTTCTTATTGCTTTGTCAAAATTGATAAAGGGGGAACTAGATGTTTTAAATTCTATCTATTCAGTCTTTTTCTGCATTTCATACTTTCTGAGGGGAGAACAGAGCCTGAAGTTTCAGTAAAGATGGTGCTAGTCCTTTAGACAGAATAGGACTACCGGCCTAACCCGCAACCTCTCCCCAATTTCTTGAGCTAGAACACTAGGCGAGATTTATGAGGATACCTAAGATGACTGGAAAGCAATACACGGATGTGCTTCACCGGTAAGAGATAAGAGATGTGGTTTCTATATATATATATATATATATATACATATAGTGAAATTATGTACACTTTATCTTCATATCACCATTTTCACAGACCTCCGATGTTGTGCTACTTTTGTTCTTCGTTATTCTGTTTCATTGTCTTCTTTTTAACGTCTCCGATGGTTCTCCACAACGCTGAATTATTTGATTTCTTTCACGTCAAATCAGTCTTCCTGCTATTTAATATTCTTATGCCAATGAACGTCTCTTTATATACTACTGGTGAATCTTTTCAGTAGCAGACACCACAGTACCATCGATGCAAATCAAAATAATAACATGTAATCTATTGTTTTCATCATGGGCTGACATCGGTTAGAGAACCACTGGAAAAGTTGAGAGTACTGTTTCGTCCTAGTTTAGGACTCTTCACAGTACGCACTCACCGGGGTTCCAACTCAGTGGTTCTCTAACTGATGTCAGCTGATGATGAAATCCTCGATCCAGCCAAACTGAATCCCTACAAAATCAATTCTTGCACATTAATCTATCGTTATTATTATTTCTTTAGATTCTGAGTGTAACATAGGGCTTCAAAACCACACTTTCACTTTAACCTATTCTCTCCAGCCCTCTTTAGATGCTTCCACAACTTCCCATAATCTCTCACCCCCTTTTCTAATGATCTTCTCCATGTAACCCTTAGATGCTGAACTTATAGTTTCCCATACGGGTTCCAGTCGAGGACCTGCCATGCATGTAATCAACTATAAAATGGTAATTTCTCCTTTCAAAGAAATCACTGAGTAAAATATGTTGTTAAAGCACGTTAAACCATTGGGAAATTTCGATTTATGAGTACTTACAGTATTTAGTGTACTATCTGAAGTATGTAGACTGAGAAGTATGAAGACTTTTACAAATCTTACGGATTATGCAACATAAACAAAATTTCTACTAATTGAACTATACGTCATTCTGACCTAAATATGACTGTAATGCATTTACATTATAAGCACTTCTTCTGCAGCTGAAAGGCTAACAGAACTTTGGAATACTAACCGCTAACCTTATTCATTTACCAGGGAAATGAATCAGTACATAACTTAAAACCATAATTCTAGTTATTTAGCATAATGCCGGGGTCTATAGATTAACTTTAAAAGCTATATTGTTCAAACATAGCATCATTATTTCACTCCGCGTATCATCATACTAAGCTGCGTATCCTGGAATAATCCTATCTTCTTTTTTGAGCTCAGAGAACATAGTTCTGCGCACTGGGCTTTTAGCTCACAACTCATTTCGTGTATAGATGACACAACTATCCCTCGCATACGACTGATTGATCACGATGAGATGTTGAATACTACTCATATCAGCCATTAGTGCTTGCTAGCCAGGCCACTGAAGTTATCTAAACACCGGATGGTAATTTCATCAATTCGGGGCTGAACTAATCCGGGGTGTAACCAGTTCGACACAGATCAGAGAGCCGAAACAGTTCAAACCACCTCAATTTCGATTATCTGCTTGAAAGAATTGGATGATATGATTGGTACTCAACCACTCTTAGCAATCAATCAGTAGTGCATGATTCAGTTTATTACGTTAAGCAGATCACATATATTTTGATCTGAATAATTTTGATTTCTAAATGAAAATTCGATGGAACTTCATCTCGTGAAAATGCATGTTTTGCAAATCAAGTGTGAGAATATAAACTCTTTTCTATTTATTATAGTGAATACCAGTAGAGTGATACAAAATCCATGCCTCGGCAATTTGCAAAGAACGTTTGCAGTCAAAATTCTCATGGTCTGTGCAGGTTGGATTCAGGATGTAGCAACCTTGCTGTTTGTTAGACAAAAGACAACAGTTTACAGTATCATTTACTGCACAGACCACTGCTTAAAAGGAATAGCTGAATGTCTCTACCAATATGGTAGAAATCCCCACAATCAACCTGCTCACTTTATCACTTCATAAAAGAATGGTGATGGAGGATAGTATATGCACATATATAGACATATACATGTTTAAGCTCTTACGCATCATGAAGAGCATTTCCCACAAATTGCAGACTCTTATCAACAGCTGCCTTCTTTTACTGCATATTGAAGGTCAGATGGTTAGCCGGCCAGGAAAAATTAGCAACAAGAAACTTCCAGCTGCGGATAAACCATCCAAGAGCCGATTGCTAAACAAATACGTAGAAGAAAATGGAAATGAACGGATCGGGCATATATTGTGGAGGCCGTCCAGTGAAATCGCGTAAAAGGCCAGTGCTCAAGTGGAACCCCACTAGGAAACGACGAGTGGGTCGTCAGTGCGAGGATGACACGGGGGAGATGAGAGATTCTGGACAATCATCAGTCCATCTAAAGACAATATCAGAAAAGTGGAGAAGTATTTTTGAAGCCTCATGTTCCTTCCACTCGGAACCCAAGGGAATAATAATAACATTAATGTATATAAAGAAGGGAAAAGCTGTTCATTTTATCTTAAAAACAAATTTTTCCATCTTTTTTTCAACATATAGTCAAAATTTTCTCTACACATCATATTAACTGGACTGAAGAAGGAGAAAAAAAATAAAGAAGGGAAAGAAAAGAGAAATATAAATATATGTATACGGTGTACAGTATTAAGAATAATTAAGAACAATAATAAGCATAATGAAATGTGTTCATCATCTTCTAATTGGCGGCATACATAATACATCAAGTGATGAATACATAAAATACATTCAAACCTTTTGGGAATACAGTCAAAACATAACAGTTATGTATTAAACGAAGAGATGAGACACTTCCAAATGACACAAACAAACACATACACGTATATTCGATCAAACAGAAAGCAAGCGGAGAAGGACAAGAAGAAGGTTAGTCAAGTGGAAAAGTAGCCAGTCTCACTAGAAAAGTAACAAAGTCATTTTAACCAGTGAAAACCAAAAAACCCAAAAAGAACCAAAATACATAGCTTAATAATGAAAGCATAATTTAGGCAAACAAAATGAAAGTACACTCATCCGGCGAGATTATTAAAGCAGACATCTGCTTTAAACTGCTGACAGTAGAAGTGAAGTTTAGAGACGGAGAAGTCGATAGACAAAGAGAGCTTAGCACTTTTTTATACACCAATATCTGTAAAGGTAATGAAGTTAGTAAGTAAGTTAGTGAGTAAGTAAGCAGCGGATGACTTAAAACAGAAGTGAAAGAAGCCATCGTTTCCTCTGAATACCATACACTGGCCTCAATAAAAGTAGAATATAATGCAAGTAATAGTAGGTTTTTACTACCCCCGCGCTTAACTGTCAGTATTCAGCTCTTCAGGGAAAAAGATTTAGATTCTGAATAATAAGCTTTGTTGTTACACGCGCCGGCTAGACAGAAAAACACGCACAATTCTCCCCTCGCCGCCTTTAAGTGGAGAATAGAGAAGCACTCAACCATTTTCGTGGGAGTGGGGATAAAGGCGATAGTGGAAAGCAAAAAAATAAAGTAAAATAAACAGGATGACTGACTGAATGAGTCAACTTTGAATAGTGTTCGAATAAAAGTGCGCTATAATTCTTTGATTTTGTTGCTGTTGTTGTTGTTGGTGTAGCAAATGGTTTGATTTCAACATGAAGAAATTCAGTAAATGAAACATGACTTGATTTATTTTAAGGAATATTACTGCATCAGAAAGAAAAAGAAAAAAATACGAACTCAGATTACAAATTACTTATTTCTCTTAGTTGATAGTAGTATTTGTGGCCTAAAAAAAAGAATGACTGCAAACGCTTGAATAACCTCCCTAAATTGTGATAATTACATTGAACGTTTGATTTTCGTTTAAGTAGTATTTATCCCACTTAAGTAGACACAGCGAGTGTATCAATAATGGTAATAGTAACAATAATAATAGTAACAATAATGAGCAAGACAAGTGGACGAAGAAGAATGCTTGTCAACATTTCCAAAGGATGCAGTTACGTAATAGCGTCTTAGAAAGATTTCAGGATTACATAAGATTAGTGATTAGTAAGTAGCACAGATAGTGTTTGAAGAAATTGAAAAAGAAGGGTGTAAATAATAACAATAATAGTAATAGTAATTAAAATGCAATAGAGTGAAACGATAATAGTAATAATATTAATAATAGTCATCATATATTACTTAATAATCCAAATGAGTAGTACACTTTACGCATAATATTACAACTAATCCATAATAGTTTATGTGCAAAATTATGACTGAAAGAAAAAGTATGCATAAATAGAGGATGTTGGCAGCTGACGTATCAGTATACTACTGATTTCATTTTGTAGCATTAGTAGTAGATGATAGAAAAGCTTAATAAAACAGATCCGTAGGATATTTCACATATGTCTCACTTGCTCACCAACTCACTGTTTCTCTCTGTGCCTTTAAAATGTGAATATTTTCACATATTTCCGACGATATAGGCGTTTATTCACATTGCTTACTTTTACATCGTAATAAATGGAAAGGAAGTGATTAAGGGTAGGCAGTATATGGTTTGTATAGTTGGTGGACTGGTTGGTTGTTTGGTTGTGTTGACCAGTTTATTTTCTGTTTACAATATCATTGAGATACCTCCTAATTAAGTGATAATAATAATAATAATAATACCGATAATCATAGCAGTGTAATATTTTGAAGATTTTAAAGATGTAATGTTTACAAAATGTGCATATATATATGTGTAGTATATTTAAAATCCTTGAATACTGACTCGTTTGTATGTCGAACTGTTGACCAAATAAGAAGACACATACACTTGCGAACGCAAACGGATTACTAGGGCAAAATCAAAACTGGATAATGATAATAATGTCTTGATCTGGGAGATCAGATTATCAGATTTTTGTTGTTGTTGTATCTATTCAGCTGGTTCATCAGCCAATAGCATAGAATAAAGTTGTTTATCTGCCATACAGCCATCCATAAATTCTTCCCTAGTTAATACACCGTCAGCATTACTGTCCATTTTTTCAAAGATTTCGTCGGTACGCGCCTCTGGACTAAGATCTACAGTAGATTCATCTGCGCCTAACATACTGTAGATTGCCTAAAAAAAGAAGAAGAAGCAAAAACAACAGAGTTAGGGAAAAAGGAGGTATCCACTATGTTTTATAGATAAAACAATATACAGTTAAAACGTATGAAATGTAATTTAACGTCCGTATTCATGAAAAATGTTAACGCATGAACCTTGAATTCGAAGGTGACTTAGCTGCAAGTATTCTAAGGATGGAAGGAAGGAAGGATCTCATAGTCTCTGAAAACGAAATTTGCAACAGAATCTTTGAGAATGCTGCTTTCTGGTTGAAGATTATTATTCAGTTGCCTGAAGGACAAGATCCTGACGCTGACCAACTGCATGAATGTTTTTCTGCTTTATTTTCTTTTGTAGAGCTAAGTAGTGCGTCAGTGGCATAGCGGTTAGGACGCTCACCGACCATGCACATGGTCCGGGGTTCGATTCCCGGCCGGCGCACTCCTTTACCTCGCTGAGCCAGAAATAATGCTCGTAAAGGGGAAAGGTTGGGCATGGGGCTAACAACCCCACCCTGTAAAATAAACACTGCTACAGAAACTTCAAGCCACTAGCTTGAAGCTCTATGTTCCACTGGGGAACGTGAAGGAAAAAAAAGAGCTAAGCAAATAGGTCGTTCGATACGCGTTTTGTCCAAGAGGGTGCAAGATAAGTATCCTGCATGGTAATCACTGGTCACCTTACCTCTACAACCCCTTTCTTTAAAGTTACCTTTAAGGCTAGAAATAGCCTGCTCAAATTATTATTTATCCAATTCATCTGTATTGCTGAAGCTTTGGTCATCGAATTAGAAAAACCAAGGCTTGGTATACAGGAAACATTTGTTCAGGCACTTTCAGTGATGGTCTTAATCTGTTTGTGGTTAAGTATTACAATCCCTATTCCTGCTTTAGCTCTATTTATTTTTCGTCTTGTTTACTTAGTTTGTATATCTTCCCATTATTATATTGACTGGTATTATTATTATATTCATGCTGAACAATTTCCGATATTATCCCATTTATTTATTTTATTTATTTTTAATTTTTAATTACAGCTTGCCTCCACACCGTATTTTCTTGGTACATTTATGGAATTTTCAGCATGTGATATTGGTAGCCCAAATTTTGCAGGCCGACCACAGATATCAGGTGTGCGTTGGTATGAGGTCGAACCCCGGATCATTTGCATGGTCGGCGCACATTTGGCGCCTTTATTTTTTTCAATTAAAAATAATTCTCTGCAGTGTTGTCGTTTCATAATTTTCACATTGTTGCGCAATCTTTTAATTGCTTATTAATCTTAAGAAAATCTACACTTCCTTCTGACATTTGTATGCTCCATGAACTATTCTACAAAGAGCCTCTTGTGAAGGTGTCCTCAGTTTATTTCCAATTAATTCCCATTTGCTTCTGTATACTTATGGGATAGTAGGTTCTAGATTGGTTCACTTGTCGGCTATATGATTTCGAATATTGACTGAAGGCGGATGCTGATGAAAGTCTCCTGGAAATGCGTCTGAGTGATACGTGCACTGAATTTATATTGGTGTTAAAATACTTGGAGTTTTCCCTCATTCTGAATTCTGTAAATCTTTACATTGATTTCGAAAATGAAGACCACCTGTCTTACGGCTGCCTATGACGCCAAGTCCGCTTATTAGTAAACCAATGCCTTTCAGAAGGGTGCGAGAGGCGAATTCCTTCAGATTTCTCTAGTAAGAGGTGATTACTATATATCATCATTGGTTGAGTATCTTCACCACCACTGTCTCATTTATGTTTACCTGAAGTCCCGACTTTGTTTCACCCTCTTCTGGGAAGTTTGCAGAAGATTTTAAATCCTCGAGTGTATGAGATATGAGACGTAAATCATTTACGAGATTCACTTCTTCTAAGTATTTTTAGTTGGTCCATCGTACTTAAAATAACTTTCCATTACAGATTAAAGACATAAATATTGTTGAAGAGGTGAGACATTGCTGAAACATCTTGGTGGGAAATGGCTCCTCCCCTTGTCCCTTCAACAGATTCACGGACAAGAAATTAAAAAGCTGTCGAACAGGTCTAAGTCATCCTCAAAAAGATACCGCTTCTGAATCTCGAGCTCACAGGTGATACTAAGGCAGAAATTCTCCTCAAAAATAGCTTTCAGAATATGGCAGTTGCACATACTTCGCTGAGAGCCAACGAGTATTATTTTCATACAAGAAACTATTCAGCTAGCACTTGAAAGATAGGCTATCACAATAGTCCAAATCAACATCCGTGTTCCAATCTGAGTACACTGGTTGTACCGTGCGTCAGAAACAGTATGCAGTCTGGTTAGCGAAGGGAGAACATAGATATATACATATATAGAAAACAAAATATCTGGTGTACTCAGGAAACTCAGCTCCATTTTACAACATATATATATATATGTCAAGTGACATCACACGCCAGGCTATCACTCGAGTGAAACCAGAATAGGAAGCGGTGAGTTAGTTGGTCGGTAGTACGAGGGTGACATGGAGGAGTTCATGAGAAGAGGAGATGAGAGCATGTGGGCAGACGTGGAGCCGGATGAGGATGTTGGCAAAGAACCGAACGCAATGAAGACGTGCGGGTGAAGCCCTATGTTCCTCTAGGAACTAAAGGAAACAATGATATACATATATGCATGACAACCACTGGGTAGGGGAAATAATTTCCTACTTCGTCCCTCAAAAACAAATGCAAAGACAAGTTTACTTCTGAAAAGCAAACGCATCTGGAAAGAATTACATCATGTATTGTAGGCTTTATAACTCTGAAAACATCTTTAAAACTTTTAATTATTTAGACACTGTGTTCAAATTTATAAAAAAATATATACATAAAAATATCTCCTATTAAAAAGCAACATCAATATGTATATATATTAGCTTTGTTCTACGCATTAACACGGAATACATGAAACAAGTAAATGGAAGCTGGTAAGGTGTTAACCTCACACAGTGATATTATGTCCGCTTTTCTCAGTTAGTTTTGTTTTAAAGTAAAAAAAATTATGTCTGTCACAGTTACAGGATAGAAGAAAAAAACTACGATTTCTTTTCCGTTCCTACTATCTAATTATAATACGATTGTTTCATAAACTAAACTTCATCAATTCTCTGGCTTGTGAATTCGCATCTCCGCATTCATTTAGAGTTCTTCAATACAAATAAGAAGATATCTGTTCCATGCTCCACAAATGGTGTTTAACATCAACAATAAAGTGCAATCTCTTCAAACGAGTTACCAGTTTAGAAATGGATTTCCAAGTTGTAGAATTTATGCAATGTTTTGCCTTATTCTGGGACTCTTCATCAACTCACATGAGAGATCTTAACAGAAATCGAACTGTACACCTTTAGGCTATGAGTTAAAAGACACTGAACATTCAGCTATTTGGACCACACTTAAATGTCTCGTGAATTCTAAATTTGTCAACTCATAATGGAATACTGACATCACCACTTCGCGTTGCCATGGTTATTGAATTACAGCCGCAAAAGTGACTGAATGGTCAACAGGCTCGTTCTTGGGTTCGGTAAGTAGTACAGTCGTGGATGATGAAGACCAAACAGCTGTTCAGCGCTCCCTAGTTTTTCAGTGATCTCCGTAAGTGATGTTATTTCTTGAGGAAAATCTAAAAATTGGATTTCTAGGTGCTTCGGGGGCGAGTTATAACTCATGAAGTCCAGACACAAAAATATCTCTCTACAAACAAAATGAATTAAAAATGAGGAGATTACGAGTCAATTTTAAGTGGAACACTGTTTCGTCCTAGTTTGGGACTCTTCATTAGCAGATTACAAGGCGAGGTCACAGATCATTTAAGCAAGTTGCCAGCTAATACCTTCTGATTTCTGTCAGTTCGCAAAATAAAGCACTGTCACTAGCCAAGGCAATCAGTGACTACTTTCTCTCACTCCCAACTTGGTAGATTCCATTTGTCACTACCTTACACACACTAATGACCATTAGACTAGTTGAGTGCTAGAGAATTGATCTGTTTCAAGTTAGATCGTGACGTGACATCAAGGTTTGATCCCCGGTAGAATCAGAAACTAGGCTGAAACAGCTTTCCAATATACCTTAGTTCCCCAACTGATATCAATCACTTCATGATCCAACCAGAAGCCAAAGGAATCCCTGTAAGCCAACACTTAGAAATTAACTCTTGGAGACTGAATCTTTCTTTATGCAGTGCCTGGATGGGGAGGGGAGGCGGGAGGAGCAGGAGTGAAATGCTGCACACATATAACGTCAACGTTTAGAATTTCGATACTCTGCTTTATCGTTTGTCAGCCATCTAATGATTTGTCGCACTGCCTACAAAATCAACGCAGCTGTTTTTGCCAATATCTATCTATCTACGCATAAAAGCTTTCCGTTCGATTAGTTTAAACAACCAAAAAAAGAGTCAAACTAATGAACATATGGTTATTTTTTCTCTTTCGTTACTTATCTGCCTATCAACATCATCATCATCATCATCACTATCATCATTATCAGCATCATTATCGTTAATGGAGTGAATCAAAGTCGCCTATTGGATTTTATCTAACTTATTGATTTTATTCTAACGATCAATATATCTATATATATATATATATATATATATATATATTTATATTCATGTAACAGTTGTTGTGATTTGACATTTTGTTTCCCTTAGAAAAAAAGAAAGAAGAAGAAATTCTGAATTTTTGCAATTTATTTTTATTTATAAAGAAGATAAATGTGTTATTTTGTAGGAAACTAGAAAGAATGACCAAAATCTCATTTCCCAGTTCGATATGAAAATTAGATGTTTATATAATAAAGTATTCTGTGTATTACCCATGTATTACCCGTTGGCGGAAAAGGCTAGCTAGAATTCAAGTGGTTTCAGTAGGTGTAATCAAACAAACTACAGACCTTCATCAACAGATGTCTTCGCTCAGTACTTGGCTCAAGATCAGATGGCCAGAGAAGATCAGCGACAAGGATCTCTGGTAGCGAATCAACACAGTAGGAACCGAT